GGCTGGAAGGACTTTGGAGCAGAGGGCCCGAGATAGGAAGGGCAAAGAAATCACCTGTGCTCACTGAAATACAGGTAGCCAGGGACATTGATGTGGGATTTAAAGGAGGAGGTCTAGCCCTGAGGCCCAGCTGTTATCAGCTAGGTGACCTTTCTGAGCCTTAGTTTTCTCCTATTTTTTATAGAGACAGGGTCTTGCTATGTTGCCAAAGCACGTCTACAACTCCTTGGCTTAAGCAATCCTCCTGCCTTGACCTCCCAAAGAGCTGGGATCACAAGCGTGAACCACTACACCCAAGCTCCTACTTTGTAAAATAATATCTACAGGTTGAACGTCCGTAATCTAAAAATCTGAAATCTCAAAAACTTTTTGAGCACCAACATGATCTTCAAAGGGAAGAATCATTGGAGCATTTCAGATTTTCAGATTAGAAATGCTCAGCCTGTGAGTAGAATACAAACATCTAAAGTCCAATATCCAAAACACTTCTGGCCCCAAGCACTTCAGACAAGGAATACTCTCCTCATAGGTAAATTAATACCATCGTTTTTTTTTTGTTGTTGTTTATTGTAGAGATGGGGGTCTTCCTATGTTGCTCAGGCTGGTCTTGAACTCTTGGCTCAAGTGATGTTTATGCCTCAGCCTCCCAAAGCACTGGGATTACAGGTGTGAGCCACCATGCCAGGCCTATTAACATTATCTTGGGAGACTGAAAGCAGCATAGCAAAGTGGAGAAAATATGGCTTGTGGAGTTTGCAGACTTCATTCAAAAGCCAACTCTGCTGCTACTTAGAAGTTAGGTGGCCTTGAGCAAACTCCTCAATCCCTGGTGCCTCGGTTTCTTCATCTGCAAAATGGGCTGTTAATGTCTTCATGGAAGGGCTCTTGTAAGACTGGAGATGGTATTAATAAAAATAATGACACACGGCCAGGAGTGGTGGCTCACACCTGTAATCCCAGCACTTTGGGAGGCTAAGGCAGGTGGATTGCTTGAGCCCAGGAGCTTCAGGCCAGCCTGGGCAACATGATGAGACTCCTATTTGTACCAAAAATACAAAAATTAGCCAAGCGTGGTGAGGCGCGCCTGTTGTCCCAGCTACTTGGGAGGCCAAAGTGGGAGGATCTCTTGAGCCTAGGAGGCAGAGATTGCAGTGAGCCGAGATCATGCCAGCATATTCCAGCCTGAATGACAGAGTGAGACCCTGCCTCAAAAAATAAAAATAATAAATAATAATCCATAACATCTGAGAGCCTACTACGCAGCAGGAACTGGGCAAAGAGCTCTATGATGGAGGAACTCAGCTTTCACAGCATTATGAGGTCAGTACTATTACTACCTCCAGTTTACAGCTGGGGACGAAGACTTGGAAAGACTGTTACCTGGCCAATGTCACATGGCTAATGTGGCAAAGTCAGGACTCAACCTTAGCCACCCAACTTCAGGGTCCAGAATTTAGCCCTGGTACTAGAAATATTTCTCTCGTACAGTGTCCAGGTAAAACCCCTGGCCACAGCGTATGCAGCGTGATTTAATGAGGGAAGAGAAAAGACTCTGGACAGGGCAGTCCTCCATACACATACGGTTAGAAGATCATGATTAGGTGGAGAGAATAGAGTTTCAGCATCCTGGCAAAGAGAAACAGTGAGAATCAACAAAATGTAAGTGCTTTGGGATCCCACAACTCCAGCAGTCTACATATTTTATTTCAAGTTCATCTTGTAAGGCCAGAGAGGTGACGGTGAGAACACATGAGCTAAGAGAAAAACGCTGCCTCCCTTGGTGGCAGCTCCCCACGATCCCAGGACCCACCCACATCCTCACTCAGGGTGGAGCGGTTTTACAGATAAGGGCCAGTTCAGAAGCTGGCTCCTGGACCCTGGTCCCTTTATCTTGCGTACTATGCTTTTTTATCAAAAGTACTATCCCACACCAGGAATGCCAGCCCCAGACGGGATGGGCTGGATGCCAGCTGATCTGCCCTTCCTATCTCGGGCCCTCTGCTCCAAAGTCCTTCCAGCCTCTACCTTTAAGAACCTGCCCAACACCCCTCCTGCAGGACATGGTCTGAGCCTCGCACCAGAGGGAATTCCTTGTCTTGGAGAGCTGGCGGATCCTGTATCTCCAGCCTGGCCCTGCAACATCCCAGCCACCTGGCCCTGGGCACATCCCATAACGTCTCTGAGAGGAGAAATGAGGCAATCCACGCTGCCTAATGCATGGCACTGTTGCAAGGAGGTCCTGATTAGACAATGTAGGTTAAAGCAGTTCACAAAGAATTTCTAAAAAGAACAGTGGCCAGGCGTGGTGGCTCACACCTGTAATCCCAGCACTTTGGGAGGCCAAGGCAAGTGGCTCACTTGAGGTCAGGAGTTCGAGACCAGCCTGGACAACATGGTGAAACCCCATCTTTACTAAAAATACAAAAATTAGCCAGGCATGGTGGTGGATGCCTGTAGTCCCAGCTACTCATGAGGCTGAGGCACGAGAATATTCGCCTGAACCCAGGAGGCAGAGGTTGCAGTGAGCTGAGATTGTGCCACTGCACTCCAGCCTGGGTAACAAGAGTGAAAGTCTGCCTCAAAAAAAAAAAAAAAGTATGTTGCAACACTCTCATTTTCCAGCTGCTTTAATGTAAGTGCCAGCTCTGTGGTCCTTATCACACCCATCACAGTGCCTGGCACAAAACACAATCAAGGCTAACACCACACAGCTCCTATCCCCCAGGGGCAGTGCTGGCGAGTTTATCAACTCTTCCTCATTCATTACAAAAGCCCCACAAGATTGGGACTACTGCCTCCATTTAGCAGATGAGGAAACTGCGGCGGAAAGAGGTTAAGGCGGAAAGAGGTTAAGGTCTCTCGCAGGGTTCACCCAGCACTAGAGCATAAGCCTGATGAAGACAGCATTCATGTGTTTTCTTCATGGCCCCGGCCACAAACCTTAAGACAGTGTCTGGGAAACTGTAGGTAGGGCCTCAGGAAATATTTGTTCAGTGAGTCAATGATGGAGATAAGATTGAACCCAGTTGTTTTTTTTAAGAAGGAATCTCGCTCTGTCTCCCAGGCTGGAGTGGGAGACAATCTTCACTCCGCCTCCTGGGTTCAAGTGATTCTCCTGCCTCAGCCTCCCTAGTAGCTGGGATTACAGGCGTGCACCACACCCTACTAGCTTTTGTATTTTCAATAGAGACGGAGTTTCGCCATGTTGGCCAGGCTGGTCTCAAACTCCTGACCTCAAGTGATTCACCCACCTTGGCCTCCCACAGTGCTGGAATTACAGGCGTGAGCTACTGTGCCTGGCCCTGAACCCAGTTTTTAAAAATGTAAAGCTAATTCCCTGGCCATGGTACAAGAACTGTGTTGCATGAATATCTGCTTTCATGTGTGAAGGCTGTACCTGTGACCATGCTTGGAAGAGGGCATCAGGACTTGATGTGGACTGCATGCTTTACCGCGCTCAGCCCTGGAGAATGACTTTTCCATGTCACTTGTTCTCGCCAAGACAGCCACAGCCTTGGACTGGAACTGACGTGACAGACAGCCCCCACGGGTGTCAGCACCAGCCCAGGGTGGTCCCGGGGTACAAGCTACGGCTGCAGCTGGGACTGGGTCCCCTGCAGACAGAGAGAATCAACGGGGTTGTGGTCTGAGAACGGCTCCCAAGCCTGCCCCTTGCCAAATCTAGGGAGTCTCTGAAGGCAGCAGGCCTGTGCCCCTGGAGCTCCCTCAGCACAGACCTGACTTGGCAAGGTTCCCACTCAAACCTGGCTTTGGGCATCTGGAGTCTGCGATTGAGCTGACAGTAACCTCAAGAAAGTGATTCTGGCTGCAGGACCCTCAAGTCTGGAGAATGACATTTCCATGTGGCTTATGGAAATCAATCTTGGAGAGACAGGGATGAAGTCACTTAGGCAGACCTTCTGTATCATTTTGTACATACATGTACATACCAGCTGTACTGTTATTTCATGTTTTTCTTTTAACTAGTCCATCTTTTTCACTTATTCTTAAAAGGAAGCTTCATGAAAGGTTTAAAAGAGCAAAAAAATAAGGCCTGTCCAAAGATTTTGTGCCCATTAGCACACAACCTTCCAGGTGGCCACAGCCTTAGAAGACTTTAAAATGCCAGTTCTAGGTTGGGTACACTGGCTCATGCCTGTAATCCCAGCACTTTGGGAGGTCAGGAATTCGAGACCAGCCTGACCAACATGGAGAAACACCCTCTCTACTAAAAATACAAAATTAGCCGGGCATGTTGGCGCATGTCTGTAATCCCAGCTACTTGGGAGGCTGAGGCAGGAGAATCGCTTGAACCCCAGAGGCAGAGGTTGCGGTGAGCTGAGATGGCGCCATTGCACTCCAGCCTGAGTAAC